AGGTAGCGTAAGTTCCCTCTTACCTGCAACATCTCAACAAGAAAGAATAATGCGCTCTGCATGCTCGACATGTTAGAAATCTTGAATGCATAAAACTGAATATAAAGAATGAAGACCAGGAGTTTTTTAGCATCCACATATTACTAGCTAAATATAGATTAAAGTTTCTTTTGTTTAACCTTGACAAGAAAGGAAGGCTTCGGGGGTTGAGGGAAGAGAGAGAGAGAGGTCAATATTTTCCTTCGTCATCTATGCTTACCTTGAAATAATCAAAGAATTCGCTTGGAATTCCCTCAGCATCAGAATCCATGACCTAGGTCAGTATTCCATAAGTCAATCTTAAATTAAAAACCAACTAACATGTGAAAAGCACTATCATATAGCTCAAACGAAGTTAAAAAGAGAACAATTTAGTCTATGTTCAAGATGATCAACGTCTTACTTCAAGAAGCTCGCGGGTTAATTTAAATGGTGCACTCTCAAAATTTACACCGCCAGGTGAATTTGAGAGCATGAAGCCAAAGTCAATGTGTATGATATGACCTTCTTCATCCAGTAAGAGGTTCCCATTATGACGATCCTTTACCTGAGCAAAAGTAAATCAACTAATAACATGCAAGTTATATGTGCAGCAGAAGACTCTAGAAACTCAGGCTAGTCGAATTGCAATTGCAATTGCAGTTGACATAGTTTGCCAACTTTTTTACTCACACTGTTGAAAGTTTGAAACTACTGAGGCTCAAAACTATTACTGCACAAAGCATGTGCTCTTCTGCATATGCAGAGACATATAGAGAAAAAGCAACAGAAGCAAAGGCCATATCATACCTGTAGAAGGTAGCATACCAAGGAATATCCAGCCATACTCTCCACAAAATTTCTCTGCAACAAAAAAAAGATTATCTTCAAATTGCAAGTCTATCAAGATGATAAAGCAGATGTATAGAAGGAACACAACAAAATTGTTTTCCAACATATTTTTCTTCCCTTTCTTTTTCTACTTTTAACCTCGCATGTTAATGAAATTCAGACTTCAAAGCTCTGATAAAACTCACACCAATTCCATCATCCATCAGTCAAAAGAATTAATGCCACTGCACCTAGGTACTTGACAATAAAGTACAAACTAGTCATAAGTTTCTTTCATTCACAATGAACATGATAACTCAAATGAGCAAGCCATAATTCTTCACCTCTTTGTAGTTTTTACTTATCCTGATTTGATACTACAATTTTTTATCGCAATTTAACATATTAGAAGTCAATATAATATGACATGCTGCAGTGGCACAAAATGGCATAATGCTTCAAATATGAATGGGATTCTACACAGCACTTGTTATTGTTTTATTAGCTGCCTTGTTCCAAAGCATAATCCATATTCAAAAGATAAGGGTTCAAGGATTTTTGCTTAACAACTAACATGTAGTTGGAATGCCCTTTTTTCAATGCATCTTTTCATGGCTCTCTCCTTTTTGTAAAAACTTTAAATTAAGAGTAAACAGCAATGATAAATATGCCAAATGGTGACAAGTCATTGAAAAGGAAGAATTCCAATAAGCTAAGAGTCTGGTTTTAAGGCCACAACCTTGTTCCATTTCTTAACAACACTTCTACAAATCTTCTCATTTGACCTGGTACCTCCTAACGCATATAGTCAATTGGCAAGAAAAAAGGAAAAAGAAATGAACAGAGGCTGGGGCTGGGGCTGGGGCAGGGCAGAGACATATTATTTACAAATGATGGGAACACAAAAATTTTGTTAGTTGTTAAAAATTTTCAACTCTTTCCTCTTTTGTTTGTTAACAAATGAAAGAGACAATCATGTCTACAGGCACCTCAGTGGTAACTCCCCTTTGTTTGCCTCTGAACAACTCTCAACAGGGGGCCTGACACTCAACTTTTTCTTGACCCCTGTTTCCTCTAATCCCATCACACATGAAAGAGAGAGAGTGAGGGAAATAACTTTCTTTCTTTTTGAATACTGGTTCACCACTGCACATTCGTAACTGTTGTACTTAATCTACATTGATACCAAACAAACCCCTCTTGCTGAGGGTAATATTCAGTCAGTAGGGTATGATCTCTTAAGTAAAATCTGGCAGTTCATTTTGGATGTATTCCTCATTTTGTCTTTTTTCTTCTTTTGGGGGAGGGGACTTTGCATTGTGTATGATTTCTGAGCATCATAAAGTGTTGGAAGAGAGATCTTTTCTTTCCATGCTGGTAGGGTCACTCTTATTCAGGCATGTTGATCTAGTATCCCTTTACATTATCTGTCTATTTAGTTTTCCTAGGGGCATGGCTAACAATATTGAAAGAAATAAGAAAATTTTTTGGTCTGGTGCAGGGGAAGTTTTGAAAAATCACTTAGTGAGATGGAAGGCATTTAGTTGTCCTAAGAAGGATGGGGTATGATAAGGGCATTGGGGACCTTTTCTTTTTTTAATGGATAAGTATGATATATTCAAGAGCACCGTAGATAGAAAACCATATTATTAAAGCAATCAGGATATCAATTAAATCTTTCAAAGCCTGACTAGTATAAAGTGGATAATCTTTTTACAAAAACGCTCAAGGTCTGGAACTATAAATCCTTAAATTATATCGCAGTTAGTTTATGTCCCCTAAATCTTCTATTTCTCTCTTTCCAAATAATCCAAAAGGTAGCCAAAAGAATAAAACTTAGTCTCTCATCACCTTTGATGCCATCCAAGCCCATAACTCCTCACTAATTGAACCAACTATTCCCCATTTCATTTCTAAGAAACCATAGGCCATAGACCAAATCCAATGAGCATACAAGCACCAATGAGCATACCTGTTAACTAAAATCTTTTCTCTCCAAATTAACTTGTTCAGAGGAAGAATGTTTTCCCTTGCAACTTCCTAAGTGAAGAAGGCCACTCTAGAGTTGCTCTAACCTTCCAAATCAGGCTGGCTGGAAGTCATCATGATTTCTTGTCTACCCGTTCAAATGCCAACAAAACAATTTAACTGAGAAACCTTAATGATTGTTAAATTGTTAATATATTCTATTAGATCCAACTTCTTGAATGTCATTTTTTCTTGCCCTAATCATAGATTTGGTCTTTTAGATTTCTAAGACATATTCTTTGGAAATCTTTCTGTCGGTTTAGCCTATAACCCTACCATTCAGAACGATACCTTGCACCAATGTTTTTGAAAGGTTGTTGCTCCCTCTAAGGGGAAGGTCTTTTGAGTTGAGTTGCGCTTCTTAACAAATTCAAGACTAATGATTTTGCTCTAAGCTTGCAGACCAAAACCGTGCTCTGTACCCAAGGGTGTGTTTTTGCAATGTCAGGTCCCATAGCCATCTTTTTTGAATTGTGATGTGGCTTGGAGATATTGGGCTCTTCTTAACGGATTCAAGACTAATGATTTGCTCTAAGCTTGCACGCCAAAACCATGCTGTGTACCCAAGAGTGTGTTTTTGCAATGTCAGGTCTCACAGCCATCTTCTTTGAATTGTGATGTGGCTTGGAGATAGTGGGTTCATTAATTCAATACTTTTTGAAGTTTCTTGGACTTCTCCTTCTAACCTTGAAGGATTTGTTATTTCTTCTCTTCATGGTGTTGAATAAAGAGAAAGATTGTTACGGAGTAGGATTTTGTTTGAGGTCATTTGGATTGATATTTTTTTGTTTTTGCTTTAAGCTCATGTAGTTTTCTGCTCCAACGAACTTCAAGTTCTTGTAAAGTGTTTAGGTACCGTTGTTTCTTTTTCAGGCTTTCAGACTCTATCTCGAGATTATGGTAAAATGACCAAAAAGACCAATTAGTTGTTTCTTTAGCTAAAATTTAATTTATCTTTATGCAAAAAGAGTATCTAAAATAAGCTCAAATGAGATTTATCAACATAAGAACTACAATTTTAATATTTGAGAGATTTTATTAATTTCTGTATAATGCCAATTATTTATCTACTATAAAAAAAATAATTAAAGTTATCAAATGTGAAGGGAATTTAATCTCAAATATTTTAAAGTGGTAGAATTGTAATTTTCAAAGCGATAGAGTTATAATTTTTCATTTTAATAAGTTTTATCATGGTCCAAATAATGATCAAATGGGTTAAAATCTCTCTACTTAAATCTCTTCAAGAAAGGGTTTTAAGAACCCTTTTTATGGGACTAAAAACTTTTGAGATTTTAATATAATATCTTGCAAACACTTCGTAATTATTTTGTGCAAATACATGCCTTAGGTGCATTTCCTTGAAAATAAAGCCAATCCAAACCCCCTCCTTTTTGGGGTTATGACTATTGCGGATGTAATGCGAGGATCTTTAAGATCATGTCTCTCTAGTTGTTTCTATGGTGTAGATTGACTCTTTTGGCTTCCTTCAGGCTGAAGTGTTGAGTTGTGACTCATATTCAAAGAACTTAACTCACAATTAGGTCCCAGTAAAGGGAAGGGTGTTTCTATGAATATAGAAAAAACTTTTGGGCGTAGGGCAGTGTTTTTATTATAGGGGATATTCTTGTAAAATCTGGATTTTCTTCCTCCACTATGGATAGGAAAAACTCTAGTTGTAAGAGAAGGTTCTTCAAATAGTAGAATATTTCACAGGTGGCTATATAGAGAAGACATCTTGCCAAGCCACGTGAAAATTCGGTGTTCTTTCTTTTTCTATCACCTTTACTTAAATCAGTATGTTTATGTTGCACGGATATTTTCGCAGCATAAGGCACAGGGACTCTATAAGGATATTTCTTTATCCATTTTACAAGGAGATTCACTGCTAATTCTATATTGAGTTGTTTTGTTGGCCAGGCCTTTCTCTTCTGTTTTTTGGCCCCTTTTTGGAGAGCATCTATACTGTACCTTTCTTTCCTCTTAATAACATTTGCTTCTATTAAATAGAAATTCTGTTATACCAATATTAACATATAAAATATAATCTTTCCAACACTAACACCTACTGCAAGAGCAGGAACAAACAGTCATCTCTTTTGCAACTATAACTTACAGGCCAAACTCTCATTATGGTGAGCTTGTGCCTTTTAGTCTGTTTCTTGCATGAATGTTTCCTCCAGTATACAGGAGGTTCCCACTTATAACAGAGTGAATATTAGTTTTTCTTCTATTTAAAAAAATTATAAGTTACCTGGGCAAGCTTAAAGCTAGGAGAATTTTCTTGATACTTAGCAATGAAGAAGTCCCGTAAACTCAAGATGTTAGGATATCTGCTTTTAATAGAATGTAGTGAAGCCTACAAAACAGAGAAGATGTTATAACATGTTCCACTGCCGATCAGCTTCAACAGAACAATAAACACTTACAGTATCTGGAATTGTTTCAATAAGAGCTGTATAAGAAGATGTAACTAGGACTTCGTACGGTCGCAACCAGAGAGGGAGACCAGCTTCTTGGAATATATCTGACATGACACATAAGTTAGACACTCCAGTGAACTAAAGAAAACAAATATTCTACAAAGACTATTTCTTTTCTTTTGATAGCAAAAGAACTATACAACGTCAGACCATTTTTTTAGTGGATACCTGATAAGATGGGATTCTGCACCAAAAGGCTAGCAAACTTGCTCAGGTTGTTAAATGAAACTGAATTGTGATATGATAAACGAAACTCAATTGTTTTTTTTTCCTCTTTTGGGTGGGGTGAAAAGGGGGGACAAAACAGACATCATTTTCTTAGTTCCATGACATGCAACAGAATTCCTATTGTCACCATTTCAAACATTTCAAATCCTCATCTTTTGGTTAGGTTGGAAAGAGAAGAATACTGTACCAGTTAAAGAATATGACCATACTCAAAGCACTAAGCATTCATATTCTGGCATGGACTAAAAAAGAATAGGAAAAATAGTTCTACTTCTATGTATTCACTGAAAAACCATAAGTTAGGACGAGGACAAAAACAAAAGTTTTCCAATTCAGAAACCATATTCAGTTAATCATTCCGCGACAACATGTTGAAACATAGAAAATAAAAATATAATTCCTGCTGGCTGAAGGATTTGGAACAAGTAGGCTATGTTCCCATAAATTAAGAAGGGGTGACAACATCATAACCATCATAAAATTAGCACATACCATAAAAGTGAGAGATAAGTTGCACAGCAAGATGCTCCTGCCTACAATCATCACCACTCTTCACAATAACCTTAATGAAAAATGAAAGCAAACAATTAATTAAATACAATATATAGCATGAATAACACCATAAAAATTAGTGCAAATATTATTTCTAAAAGGAGAAATAATAAACATAATAAGTGGGAATAACAGAAAGACGCTAGACACTGATGCTTTTCTCCCTCCAATTAGGAGAGAAATTTAGGCTTGGTAGTATACCTATAACAACAAACATCTCAAGCCATCAAGAAGCCTACACGACATCTTGCTTTAAGATACTTAAAGTATATCTTTCTATACGTTCACTGGATGCAGAACCTATTCTTAAGCCATAGAAAGCACCTAAATAACCTGCTTCAGAATAACTTTAACCTGTTCACATTTACTTCCTGATCTTGAAATGCTATTGGAAAATCCATAACAAAGGCTTTTGATAGCTTGTAGTCATGTAAGAAGCAATTTGTTAGGGATCCTAAATGCCTGGAAATCACTCCATTTGCCAACGTGTATCAAAGAAGGAAGAATGAGTCCGAAGTTCAGATTTAATTGCTCCTAGTTTTAGGGCCTAAATGCATAGGTATTTGATATGTGATTTACGTGGGCAGTGCATATTGGAATAAATTCTGTCAAGTGTAATGTAGAAATATTTGAATGGTTGTTTGTTACTGTTGACTAAATTTGGGAAGATAAGGTTACGCAGTTTTAGCAGTTCCTACGTTCGGAGAAGAACGGCAACAGCCCCTATCCTCTCTAATAAAATAAATTCCTACATCAGATATCAGAAACATCTACGAAAACAATTTGTTAAGTTTTTAGTACTCTTTGTTGCGAAGATGTTAAATGTTGAGTACTTACTGCAAAGATCACTAAGTTTGTCTTAATGAGTCCATAAATTAGATGTAAAATAGGTGAAGGCAGGAAAAAAAAAAATTTTTTAAAAATCAAATTTGTCAACAGAATTTGTCTTCAAAGGTTGACCATTAGTTCCATACAAAGAGATGAGAGACAAAGTAGCCAGGAGATTTTCGTACTTAGAAATCTCCCAATCATTCAGATTTTTCAACACGTGAACCTGTAATTCCAACACCCCACTCCCGTTGCCTTTGAAAGAGTCACAGATCAAAATATATTTCTCTTATGTTATATCAAAAATCCTAGGAAATTGATCTCTAAGGAGATCCAACCAAAGATCCTGCCAAAAGTGGACTTTATCGCCATTGCCCACCCTCCACTTAATACAGTCCTGGAATCTACCTATTTCTATACATATTTTCTTCCACACCCCTTTCCCATGCGGTGGTCATGACAATATTTTAGAGAACCAACCTTTCTCACAATGAGCTCTATTTTCAGAGGGGTGGATGGGCATTAGATCAATTATTGAATTAAATGAAGTTCTCCTCAGGAAATGGCTTCAAAGAATCATAAATGCCTACAACAGCCTATGGTGGAGCGTCATCAAAAACAAGTTCGAGATGATGGCTAGGGGATGGAGGTCTAGGCAATCTAGACTTCCACATCAGTCAAGTATTTAAAAGAAATAATTCCAGTTGGGATGATTTTATTGGTGCCCCAAATGAGGAATCAGTTCAGGACGGAGGGTGAGGTTTTAGAAGACAATTGGAGAGGATGAGGACTTTACACCAGCATTTTCCTTCAATATTCTCCTGGGCCAGAATAAGGAAGCTATTATCGTGATATTTTCTTCTTCCCTCAGCTCTAGGGTGCGGGGTAGGGATCTGCTGAACCTTAATAACTAGGAAGCAAACAAATATGTTAGTCTTCTCTGACACCTTTTCCACGGTAATAGTCCTTCACCAGACTAATCTTTCTCATGACCACAGTAATTTCGCCTAGAAAGATACTTGGAAACTTAATGCTTCTTCCATAATTTCTTTTTTCGCTTGGAAAGAAATGAGGGAGAAGTCTCACTATTGACAACCTAAGATAAATAGAGAGGATCCTAGAGAACGAGATTATCATGCAGAGGATAGGTGAAATGCTGAATAACCTCCTGTTATAGTGTCCTTGAATGTGCTGTTTATGGTTTCCCTGGCATGAGTAGGGGCGATGCGCCCATGGTGTGGTCAGTGATTAATAAAATTTGAAATTGGCAAGACATCCAGACTGATATGCATAGGAAGAAGCTTTTATCTCTTATGCCCTAAGCTACCTTGTACATTATTTGGAAAGAGAAGGGGGAAAAAAGAAAAGGTTTTGAGGGTGTTGAATCAACTTTTAATAAAGCCTTATGCTTCTGGACTTTCTGTTTTTTCTATTAGCGGTAATCCACTTATTTTGCTGAGGATTGGGAAGAACTTATTGCATTTTAATTTATTTATAAAGCTTATAGTCATTGGGTTGCACATTTTGGTGCAATGTCCACATAATTCTTTCTTTTCTCTCAAATATGTAATATACACACACACACTTCAATGCCACAATAGACAAGAAGAAAAGTAAAAAAAGAATCAAAAAGTTTATGGATTAAAACCAAGTTAATATAAGGAGAACTTACAGAGCACAAGTCCCAACCAGGTAACTTTCCATAAACTGAAGCTTTTCGTATCCTCTGTTTCTTTACCTCCCAAAGTTCACCAGATAATGCATCACCAGCTTTCAATATACCATTAGCCTGCAGGGAAATTAAAGATTATTAAAACATGACATTTCAAACATTTAGCTTTAAAAAAAATAAGAGCTCCTCAATCTTCACAAATTTTTACCCTTGGTTGCACGTCTGATGAATCCTGACCAGCACCTTTCAAAGGGAGTCCCAGAGGTGCTTCTCCTTTTGCTGCAGCAGCCTACGAAAAGATGGATAAATTATGCTAACGTCAAAAACAGACCTTAATTCATTCAAGAGACAAGTAAATTTGGTTTGACAGGATGAACCCAAATGTTCAAATGGCAACTATATGAACTCATAATTATGTAGAAACCCAAATGGACCTAAATTAATTGAAGAAATCAGTAAATTTGTTAGCACAGGATGTGCCTAAAAACTGAAATTGCAAAATATACGAACTTGTAATTACGTAAAAACTCGAACATAAGCGTCTGAAGTTTGTGACTACTACCTAGTCGCGTTATGAGGAAAGAACTATATTAGTTAAATAAATGGAGATAAATCAGTTATGATGAGAGCATCACCAATCTTATTTGTGGAGTACAGAGGAAAGCTAAGACAAGTGAAGATAGGTCATCAATTCTGATGAAAGAAGAACTCCACTAGGAAACTCATTCAACTTCCTTCAAAATGCTTGACTTTCTGGTTATCAACGATTGAACTCACAAATGAAAATCCTCTCATTCCACAATTCTACAGAGATTAACAATTTATTGACCTAATAGTCAGGTTCTGCTCTAGAAACTTCTCAATCAGAAATTTTTAGATTCTGTCAAGGAACCTGTAAGAAAAAACCTATCAATAAAACCATGAAGGAGAACACCGAAATGGACAGAGGCTAATAATTGATATGTGGTCAGGGCAATATGATACATGCCAAAAAATTTAAACTAAACCTTTTAGATGGTATAGTCACAAGAAAAAAAGATGGTATAGTCACAATATATGAGTACTGTAATTGATTTTTGTAGCAGAGAAATCTCATAAATCTCAATAATTAACCTAACAAAGTTTTAGATAGCGGATGATCCTAATTAAACAAAAGGACCAGTAATTAATTCTTAGTTGTAGCATGAAAACTACAGGTAAGAGATTTTAATGAGAAAGAATTAAAGGCACCAAAGTATGCAGCCCTAATACAAATTAGAAATAGAAGCTGTTCAAAAGGCCAATAATATCTACATCATTCAACAAAGCTAGGTTGATAGACAGGGGATTGAGAATTCTGAACCAATAATCCCTTATGGACACAAATACCGTCTGCCCAGGCATTGAAGGACCCTACTTTTTCTGCTGGTGCAGATTGCAGTGCATGCAAGGGGGTGTCAACAAAGATGAACAACAATATGGGGGAAGAAAGGATCTAAACTTTACTTGGGAAATGCCACATGTTTGGAGCCCCTAAAGCTTTTAAAATATGAGAGCCCACATCTTTTCTCTTCTTTTTAATATAAGGCAAGAACCTAACAATTCACGAGGATCAAAAATCAAAAAATTTGTGTGGTGACAAGGAGACAACTCAAGTGAATTATAGAAAGTTTCTACAACGGAACCATCTCTCCGCATATCAACTGGCAATTACTGTAGAAGCTATAACAAATGTTAGAAAACCAAAACAAATCCCTTCTTGTATCCTCCCTCTTTTTAACTATTAAACATTTAATATAAAACTAGAGAAAGAAAAGAGACTTCTTTGCACTAGAAAGAGGAAAGACCTGCTTCCTATCTTCCCAACCCATATCAACAATTGAATTAGCTTACCATCTTAAAAACCACAACAAATCCCTTCTTGTATCCTCCCTTCCCTTTAACTATTGACAAAATAATAAAAGTGATGAAAAAGATAAGACTTTTTTTGCACTAGAAAGAAGAATAACATGCTTCATCCTTCCCAAGCCATATCAATAATTGAATAGGAATGACACCTTCACTTCAAATTATATAAACTACTGTGTATGTAGCACTAATATCACATAAAAGAAGCCAACCTTTACTTCCTCTATGGCAACTGTACTAGGAACACGGCGGTGTTCCTTCCTACGTGTTGGTCCTTGATCTTCAATATCTCCCATTCTAAGTCCAGGTTCAGCTGTCAGCACCACCCTTACCCATTCCAAATCATTACCATGCGCTGATCTTGATCCATGAGCTATACCATCTGTGCGTTGACAAGCCTTTGATGGTGTAGGCTCCAGACAACCACAACGGACGCCAGTTTGTGATTTGGATGTAGTAATGTTTTTAGGCCGGCCAGGTGATTGCTTCTCCACAGAAAGACTCACATTAACAAATTTCACTTTTGCCTCTGATTTATGAGTCATTGCCTGGTCAATTGCTTGAGCAGTAGATAACGACATGCGATCAGTACTATTACGATATACCTCCTGAGCAGTCCACAATGGATAAGCCCATGGAGGTGGCTTTGGCAATAATGCATCACCATTTGCTAGTGGAATTCCTCCTCTAGAAAGCTTTTGAGCACCAGATGTGTCCTTCACATTACTAAAACAAACATAAAAAAGATGAGCAGAATTAGGTATTCTAGCAATTTTAACAAATAAACTAGTAATCCTGAGAATTGAAAACCAAGATATTTATATGCATAGATAGAGAGATTTCAAAATTACCCAGGCATTTCACTTTTCAAAACCTCAACACAGATGAGATAAGGTGCCTTTTCCCTAGAATTCAAAAGAACAGCTTCCTCTTCTGGAATGTGAACCACACGATACATCCCTTTTCCCATTGGAAAGCAAACCCCTAAGGATATTACCAGTAATTCTCTTATTAGAGTTACAAAAGGTGTAAATTATTTTCACCAAAAAAGAAGTTTCTTCTTTGAGAAGAGATAAAAAAGGTCATATGCTACAAATTGGCAATCAAATTATTCAGAATAAGATTAAACAACTAAAACAAATGCCACTGGTTCTGGGAGTAAAAGTTTGGAATGGTCTACAGCAAAAACCAAGCAGCAGACTGTGATTTCAAACCAACAGCTGCATACATGGATATATATACTAGACATAATATGTATATGCATAGACATAAAACACTAATGCGTGTTCAAATACATAAACATATGGCAGATACTGATAACTAAGTAAATTCAATGCCTCACATTCAATAATGAATACAAGTAATACATTCTTTAAGATAAAATGATCTGACGGAAGACAAAAATCAGGATGTGTTACAGAAATAGAAGAAGACACAGGTTACTCAACCCTAAAACCTAAAAGATGATCTAGAGGCATTTGAAGTTGCTAAGCATCCCCAACTAGGTCTGCCTATTTTCTTAAACTATAAAGGCACTTATAAGCACCAACATATTGTGTGAGTAAAGAGCATCTCCACCTTACTTTAAGTAGATTTGCTTCAAGTACTTGCTTTTCGACATTCCCAAAAACCTATTTATCCACGTCATTCGTTATGTTTACCAAACGTAAGAATTATTTACTTTCTACTCATTTGTCCCTAGACCCAATGGTTTCAACATAAGTTTTCTACAAAAAGTTTGGCACATAATGACAGAAGACATTTTTGGGTTTTTAAAGGAATTTAAAGAATCTGGATCTTTTAAAGCCGGCTCTAGTTTTCCTTTTCTTCGTTCAAGAATCTCATCAATTAAAGAGGGATGTTCACCAACTAAGAGGTTTGCTGCCCTACACTGTTTTGATTAAATCTTTCCTAATTATAATTTTCTTATTATTTTATTTTTTCTTTAGTTTCCTAGTCAAGCTTGTACAGAATTCAAGTTTGAAGTTAATAATACAAGTAGTACATTTTTGGCTTCCTATTTTTTCTAATTAGGAGATTTTATTTCCTTATATTTCACTTGTCCTTCAATTATAAACAGCCCAAAAAATTCGGTTGTAAGCATTCAGAATTCAAGTTTGAAGTTAATAAGTACAAACTTTCTAGTTTTTCACTTTCTTATTGAGTGAGAATTGATGTCTACTTATCAGATACTTGTGACATTTTCATCAATCTATTTT